GTTAGATTCATAACTTTATACTCTGCCTGTGGAAAATATGTTTGCACTGTTACTCTAGCCAAAATTTCTTTACTTATTTATTATAATGTTCAGAACTTGATAAATGCAAAATAGATTCTCTAGCATTATTCAACTTTGGGATTTGTTATTTTTTCAGGTGCCTCAAAAATGGCATCTGTTCAAGCAACTGCTATGAGCCATGAGATGAAGATTTAATAGAAAGATGTACTAATTTTGAAGCAAGGTCAAAAGATCAATGTCGTCGTCTGAACCTAGGACTGATTTCAGGCGCTTGACTTTTACAAAAAATGTTCCAGTTTTTGTAGAGGCAAATTTAAGTTGGCAGATGCAAAATGCTCATGGCCACCTTCAAGGTCATGGCGAGCGAGCACAAATTCAAATATGAGTTCTGGACAATTAATACCAAGATGAAATTAAATCTGAATATAAAGAGATAGGTCAGTTTGTTTCATATGCCACCATATATCTATAAGACTAGATGTTTTAGAAGCCTAACAACTATTATACCTGTGTAAAAAAACGCATTATTGTACAGATAGAGCCATATAAAACGCCTTCATGAATACTTGGGCCAGAAGATTTAAATCATGATATTACCAATCAAAGCATATTTTAGGCATTATATCTTGGCATGCCGTCCTTACATCTCCATCTAACTGATTATGGATTTTTATCTATCTCAATTGCAGAAGAGAAGATCCTCCACTCCTTCCACCAGTCTGGTAGGATGAAAAAAAAAAGGACGCTTGCCTTTAGTACGCCTAAAGTGTCAAAAAAAATTTAGAGAGAGGGAATGGGACAAGCATGGTCAAGTGCTCACCATAGCAAGCCTCTGGTATCAAAATTTATAAGATCTGATAACCCTCCTTTGTCAGAGTTATTCTATAACTATAGGCCTCTGTGGTGACCCACACTCAAAGTACAAAACTGCTGGTTCCTTCTGTTAGAGAGTATACTTACTGATGCCCTGTACCAATCTACACGCTTATATGTACAAATAAACAATATATACTTTGTTATCGTTGCCAGCATTATGAATCTTCTCTACCAGGTGTATTGTTGCATATTTAATTTCTGCAAAAAAAAAGCCAACAGTGCTCATTCATAGTGCTTCATAGATCAAACCATTGCTCCATCAAACAAATTGAATAACGGGCACAGGGTATATTTATTGTAACAAATTTGTATACATCGACAGGTCCATCAAGGAAGGCGCTAGTAACTTTCGGAGAACTGCACATCGAATTGTATGGACCTGCTAATATCACCGAACTCTGCTTTCTTCACTACTACACTAGAACTCTGCTTTTAAATTCAGATTCGCTGCAAGGGAACAAAGCTGGATAAGATGCCAGCTTAGTACGCTCATCTTAAGTTTCACTGTTCCAGTAATGCATGTCAACGGTCAACCATCAAGTGGACCAAAACGGAAATGCAATGAAGTAGTTAGAACAAAGAATAGGCGTGATGAGATCAGGGCATACAGAGAAAACATAGAGGTGCCCACTCTGCTGCTCGTTATCAATCGCACCCTTTCGAGAGTTCATTTGCTGTTAGCAACCCCAACTGGATTGACTAACAGATAGCTTGATTCAGTGGAAGCAAGTTCTAGAAGGTACTGGAAGGTAGAGAATCTAGGTACAGGAGAGGGAGACTTGAGGAAGAAGAAGAACTAAACTAGTAAAGGTAAAAGAGATTCTGTTTGATAATTTGGTTGATACACTTCGCCGGATTGCTTGTGCCTATGGATGAAAATGGTACGGATATTTATTCGACCATCCGTTCGACCGAACAAATATGAACACTTATTCGGATAGTTACTCGGATATCCGGTTTTTTTTTCGGATACGGATACTAAAACGGATACCTTAGGCGGATATCAAATACGGATGTAATATCATCGATATCCGGCGGATATCGGATAATCCGGATAAGTATCGCATATATCCGGATATTTAAAAACGGATATTATCCGGATATTTATTCAAAATTTAAAAATCACAAATTTTAACCATCCAAACTATCTCAAATGGAAAGTTGACCAAAACAAGAATTGTAGATCTTGATGAGTTGAACAAACTTGGTATTCAAAACTTTTCAATTTGAAGTCATTTAGAGTTCATAATACTAGAGTCAAATTGTTGTTTTTTCATTTGACCAAATTTGACTTGGTCAAACTTGCTCAAATGAGACACTAAATGACCTCAGATGAAAAAACTTTGAATACCAAGTTTGATCATCTCAGCAAGATCTACAATTGTTACATAGCTCATTTTTCCATTTGAAAAAGTTTTATCAAACACTAGTCATAAATTCTTGAATCTCATAGACTTTCTGAAACTATGTCACACACTTGTGAAATTTGAACTATATTTTATTCAAACTTTCTCAAATGAAAAAATGGCCTATATAAGGATTGTATATCTTGATGAGATGAACAAATTTGGTATTCAAAACTTTTCAATTTGAGACAATCTAGGGTTCCGAAAACTAGTTTGTACACGTCGAAATTTAAAAATCACAAATTTGAACCGTCCAAACTATCTCAAATGGAAAGTTGACCAAAACAAAAATTGTAGATCTTGATGAGTTGAACAAACTTGGTATTCAAAACTTTTCAATTTGAAGTCATTTAGAATTCATAATACTAGAGTCAAAGTGTTGTTTTTTCATTTGACCAAATTTGACTTGGTCAAACTTGCTCAAATGAGACACTAAATGACCTCAGATGAAAAAACTCTGAATACCAAGTTTGATCATCTCAGCAAGATCTACAATTTTTACATAGCTCATTTTCCCATTTGAGAAAGTTTTATCAAACACTAGTCACAAATTCTTGAATCTCATATAGACTTTCTGAAACTATGTCACACACTTGTGAAATTTGAACTACATTTTGTTCAAATTTTCTCAAATGAAAAAATAGCCTATATGAGGATTGTAGATCTTGATGAGCTGAACAAACTTGGTATTCAAAACTTTTCAATTTGAGACAATCTAGGGTTCCGAAAACTAGTTTGTAAGCATCGAAATTTCAAAATCACATATTTGAACCGTCCAAACTATCTCAAATGGAAAGTTGACCAAAACAAGAATTGTAGATCTTGATGAGTTGAACAAACTTGGTATTCAAAACTTTTCAATTTGAAGTCATTTAGAGTTCATAATACTAGAGTCAAAGTGTTGTTTTTTCATTTGACTTGGTCAAACTTGCTCAAATGAGACACTAAATGACCTCAGATGAAAAAACTCTGAATACCAAGTTTGATCATCTCAGCAAGATCTACAATTTTTACATAGCTCATTTTCCCATTTGAGAAAGTTTTATCAAACACTAGTCACAAATTCTTGAATCTCATATAGACTTTCCTCAAACTATGTCACACACTTGTGAAATTTGAACTACATTTTGTTCAAACTTTCTCAAATAAAAAATAGCCTATATAAGTATTGTAGATCTTGATGAGCTGAACAAACTTGGTATTCAAAACTTTTCAATTTGAGACAATCTAGGGTTCCAAAACTAGTTTGTAAGCATCGAAATTTAAAATCATAAATTTGAACCGTCTAAACTATCTCAAATGGAAAGTTGACCAAAACAAGAATTGTAGATCTTGATGAGTTGAACAAACTTGGTATTCAAAACTTTTCAATTTGAAGTCATTTAGAGTTCATAATACTAGAGTCAAAGTGTTGTTTTTCATTTGACTTGGTCAAACTTGCTCAAATGAGACACTAAATGACCTCGATGAAAAAAAAACTCTGAATACCAAGTTTGATCATCTCAACAAGATATACAATTGTTACATAGCTCATTTTCCCATTTGAGAAAGTTTTATCAAACACTAGTCACAAATTCTTAAATCTCATACTGACTTTCTAAAACTATGTCACACACTTGTGAAATTTGAACTACATTTTGTTCAAACTTTCTCAAAATGAAAAAATGGCCTATATAAGGATTGTAGATCTTGAATCCATGACCATGACTCCATGAGACCCATGAAGCAATGTGCTTGGCTATTTCTACTCATGCCGCAAGATTAGTGCTTATATGATGTTTGATGTATGATGTATCTGTATCTTTAACTTATTTGTTGCTTTACTCTTTAGTCTTTCGGCTTAATCTAGATGGATTATGGACTCATAGAGTGGTGTAATGGTTTCTTGCAGTTATTATATATATATATACTGCTTTTACTCAATATCCGAATAGATATTTGTATCCGACCTTCTCCGAATCCGATTCATACCGTATTCGATACTCATTATTCGTATCCGTAACCGAGTCAATCCGTATTCGTATATGTATCCGAACGCTATCCGTGTCCGAATCCGAATCCGAACAGAAATATGAAAACAAATATAATATGAGTGATATCCGTTCGTATCCGATCCGTTTTCATCCCTACTTGTGCCTTTGTACTCCGACTTCAGCCACCTGGGCAGGCTCGGGCCACGGCCCATAAGGCCCAACAATGGTTGGTCCCTGACATTCCCCCCTTCTTAAAATTCGGCTTGCCCCCAAGCTGATAGAGAAGTTCGGAACCACCAGGATCCCAAGAAAACTGCTGACACTCTTGTTCTGAATGCAGACCATGACCAGTGCAGTGCATATGGAACCACGAGCCCACTTCTGTTGCCTTGACTCTGGTGTGAATGAGCATACTACCAACTCGTTGTTAATGTGAGCATGAAGTATCACAGGAGGTAGCCATGGCTGATGCAGTATTGTTGTTGCAGTTGATTTGGTCCTCAGCGAAGAAGTAGGAGCCAGAAGCTTGCCAAAGACAACCGCTGATGTCAAATTGAGTTCCAACCAAGTCCAGCTCAAGCAATTAGTATTGCACTGCACTTCCTTGCTGGTAGTCAAGAAGCCTATAGCAAGCACCATCAATTCCCCGCATGAGTCCATTGTCACTGACTGTGCAACAAGTAATGCTCCGAACAATGCTGAACTTGATATCATGAGAGCTGAACTATATGCCCAAACACGTGGTGACCAAAGGAACTGTCAACTGCATAAACAGATCAGAGGTACATCTGTGGAACCATGTCCAAAACTTCCAAGGGACTAAAATAATTTGAGCAACAATCAAACACACAGGCGCAGACATGTGTACATGTCGCTGAGCCTTTGCACTGTCAAGTTGCCTTAGTAATACACAGGGCTGACACTTGGAACTGTCTGCTGAAATAACAAGAACTCCATCAGGAGAATTAGGACCAGGTAGCCAAAGATGGCACAACCTCAACTGTGTAAATTCTAGCCAACAAAAGAGGGAACCCATCTGGTGAAGTACCACTGGTATGGAGGTGTTCAACTGCACAGAAGCTGCATAACTAGAGAAGGATGGCCAAGGAAGCGGCCTTAGTTGGGCGCTATCTCTGATTGATGCAAGATGCACTTGATTCTCAACAAGCAGTCTCACAAACACCTTCTGAACAATATATGACTCGGATGCAGAAAAAGTAGGCACAACATCAACTGAATATGCAAGGTTGAGGATGATGATGTACCAGCTTGGCATTTCGTTAAACACCAATTGAGCGCCCACTGCAGCCGGAGATGATGTCGTAGCCACAACAATAGAAGCAATGGATCCTGAATTGATCTGCTTGGGAACGTCCTTGGATGCAAGCCAGACGCCGGTGTGGGGTGACAAGCAGTAGGGTGAGGCCCAGGTGCTGCCGGCAAGGCTGTGCCCCGCCACAACGAACCTGGCGCTGCTGTTCTCGGACAGGAAGCGCCACAACGTCTCGCGGATGGCGTAGTGCGTGAACGGCTTCCGAAGGCCCTGCTCCATGACGACCTCCGGCCAGCCGCCGACGTGGAGCACGACGTCGTCGCCACTGATATCCCCCTCCAGGTAGTCGGGGCGGAGGCCCAGACCCTCGCACGACAGCCACAGGATGTCCATCCCCAGGTCGAGGCAGACCTCCATGCCGGGGTTCCCACGGCCAATGACGAGGACGAGCTTGCTGCGGGACGTCGCGCCGCACTTGTACTTGGAGAAGTGAGAGACAGTGGCGGCGAAGTCTTAGGCGCCCTCGAACTCCGGGAAGATGCGCTCGGCGTCCCTGCCCATGGCGACGACGAACTCGCCGAGCCAGCTGAGCACGGCGAAGAAGAGATCCGGGTGGGAGGAGGACGAGCAGACGCAGGACTCACCGACGCTGGTCACCACCTCAAGCTCGGCCACGACGGGTACCCGCGGGCCGTAGCGGAAGGACTGCCCGCTCTCGCCGCCATTGTAGTTGTCGTGTCCCCAGTGGAACACCTCCACCTTCCAGATCACGCCGCCCGGGACTTCGGCTAAGCAATGGCCGCTGGCCGCGCAATCCGTCGAGCAGTTGGTCCGCGCTGACCCCGCAACGTCCATCCAAGCCGAGCGCCCACCACCTGCTGCGCCTACAGCATCGGCGCGGAGCGCGGCAGCCGCTGCGAGCACCTGGCCAACGCGATCGATGGCTCGAAGGAGTGGTGTGTCGTGGTGGGCGAAGCCGGACTCCAGGTCATCGTCGAGGGAGCCGTCGTAGCCACCGAGCGGGATGGCGCGGAGCGCGCACTCGACGGGGCCGATGTGGAAGGAGTCGGAGGCGTAGATGGCGTAGGCGCGCTCGTGGTCGGCGCCGCGTGGGTCGAGGTCGAAGGTGATGATGACGGCGGGGGAGAAGCTCCTGACGCGCTCCGCCTCTGCGTCCCAGGCCCGGAGGTCCGACTCCAGCTTGCGCGCCATGTTCTGGTTCGGGTTGAGGAGGTGGCGCTGCGCCTCAGCGTGCACGGCCACGGCCACGGCATAGGCGAGGAGCGCGGGGGCCTTGGAGATGGAGAGCCCGAGCCGGAACTTGGGCGTGTCACCATGGTGGACGATGGGGCGGCAGGAGACCAGCGACGCGAATTCATTTGAGCTTAATTTTTATATGTTGCAGAGTTGTGATCCATTACTTAAAAAAGAAGAGATTAAATAGTTCTTATTTGGTTTTGGTAATTGAGTGACAATTTAGATGAATTAATGTATTTAAATATGAGATACACAGGAGATTAGTCCACAGATGAATATGTAATGAAGTAGCTAATTGCATATGAGATATGACATGGAGTCATGTGATTAAGGTAGAGAAAATCAAGATGAGACTTATCTTGATGGACCGGTTGCAAGAGTGAAAACAAGTCGGAGGCTTTGAAGCACTGGACCGCGTGGCGGGATGCTTGAGCAAAGACTTGACGCCGATGGACCGATGCAATGGTGAAGAAAATGAGGTCAAGATCGATGAACCAATGAGATTACATGATGATATAAAGTGGATCATATCATTGTTGATCGTGTTGATGCATATGTTGCATCGACATTAAAGGAGATGGAATAGAATACGCAAGACAAAGGTATAACCTATATGACATTTTATTTTACCGGTCATAGGTGGGTAGAGAAGTTGATGATCGGGTTTAGTATAGATGGCCGTACTATCAAAAGGGGCAAACTTGTTTACATATCGGTCATCTAGTGCCACTCGAATGAACTAACTTTGCATCGTTGCTAGAATCGAGTGGCGTGGCAAGAAGAGTACTAATCCTTTAGAAAAATATTTGTGAAAAGCTAACACACGTATACAAGGTGGTGTATCACTTGGTGGTGTTAGCATATTTGTAAAGGAGAAGTTGGAAGCGAGGAGGAGGTCGTAGAGAGCTTGGGTTGCTTTCTAGACAATGGGTCTGCCCTTTGGTGGCGGACTGTTCGCGGTCCTCGGACGCTGATGTTTGGGAGGGATCGGACGCGACGCTCGCACTGTTCATGGGCCGATAAGTGAACGGCGGACTGTCCGTGCCTTGTTATTGAACATTGCTAGTGAACTTAGGTGGTTTTGTACTTTTGCATCACTAGTTGTGTAGGAGCTCCCCCGGTTCTGTGAAGTACTAGTGCATAGGTTTATGTGACCTTACTTTAGAATTGATTAGGTGAGCTCTAGCTAGCCCGACATCTTAGTTGCTTAATTAAAATTTTTGTAAGGTATTTGTGAACCTAGATAGAGGGGTGTAGTCTTGGTTAGACCGATAATTTAAATTCCGCATTTATTTCGATTTGTCAATGCGTTCGGTTTTTAGAAAGGACTATTCACCTCCCTCTAGTCCGCCATCTCGACCCTACACGTGGTATCGGAGCTAGGTCTCTCATTTGTGGTCTTCACCGACCTGAGATGATGGCATCTAGTGGCCTAAATGATTGTGATACATATATTTTTTATGGCACACACTTTGAATGGTGAAAATACCATATGCTTGATCATATTTGTGCAAAGGGACCTAAGTTTTGGTGGGTTATCACAAGTGGTCTCACCCATGTCTTGGACCATAAAAATCTAACCAAAACTCAAAAGGTTCTATCTTTGAACTTGATGCCGATGCTTATTTATATCTAATGGATGCTTTGAGCTTTGAGTTGTTTTGCAAGGTGAACCACAAAGGAACCGCTCATGAATTGTGGGAATCAATCAAGCACACCTTTAGTGACTCCTTCACATGGAACGATGGCAAGTTCAAGAAGAATGAGTCGAAGGATGAGGTTGCGCATGAGTGTGTTGAGCATGACCACGATTTGGTGATTGTGGAAGATTGCTCCACCTCATGGTCAAGTGATGATGAAGATCTATCCACTATAAGTTCACTTGACAAGGTTGATGATGATGATGCCTCAAGTGATGCCAATGATGATGCTACTCCATGCACATTTGATGGTGATGATGATGGATCATGCTCGGATGACATTGCTACTACAAGCTCTCCTACATCACCACATTGCTTTATGTCACAAGGTGACACTAAGGTATCTAATGCTAATATGGTTGATCATGTTGATTCATATGATGAGCTTATTAGTAGACTTGCTAGCATGACCATGTCTTTAGAAAACGAGAAAGCTAAAACATTGAAATTGAAAAATAAAAACTCATTTCTAAAGAACTCATGTGAAGAACATAAGCACTTACTTGATGTTCTTAAATCTTCACATGGTGAGCTAAAATTGACTTATGAGACACTACTTGCATCTCATGAAGAATTATTAAAACAACATGCTTCTCTCATTAAATTATTTACAAAGAAACTTAAAAAGAATGAGAGCTCATCACATGAATCAAGTGATCAATTGCAACATGTGACTAACTCTTGTGATGTAAGGAAGAAGCATGTATCCACATCTTGTGATGATTTATTAGATATGCCATGCTCTTTAAATATAGATACTTGTTCTACTTCTATGTCTTGTGAGACTAACCTTTTGAAGGAGAACAATAAGCTTAAAAGTGAAGTAAAGAAATTGAGCAACAAGTTAGAAATGTGCTACAACACTAAAATCACCTTCGAGCACATGATGAGCAACAAAAGAAGCTATGTCGATATGAGTGGCATTGGATTCAACAAGAGCATGACCAAGGGGGAAAGAAAAAGAGAAAGAAAAATGAAGAAGTAAGAACAAAAGAGGCTATCTCATTTCATGTACTTCAAGTGCCATAAAGTGGGACATCTTGTAAATAGTTGTCCCAATAAAGAGAAGCTCAAGTTGAAGAAAGAAGAAGAGAGGCTAAAGCATGTCAAGTGCTTCAAGTGCCGCACATGGGGCCATCTTACCTCTATGTGCCCAACCAAGCAATTAGTGAAGCAACAAGTAAAGCCTCAATCAAAACCACAAGTTGAGCAAGAAAAGACACCCCAAGAGCAAATCAAGGTCAACCATGAAGATGGTAGTGACTTGATGATGATGAATAAGAAGACAAAAAGGGGTGGAAGAGCAAGGCATCCAATGCTTATTCAAGATGCCAAGATGATAAGCAAGAATAAAGATGAGAAAAAGATGTATGCTCACATCAAGTGCTTCAAGCGTGAGGATATGGGACACTTTGCCTCGAAGTGTCCTACCAAGCTTGAGAAGAAGGTTCAAGCAACTTATGAGAGGCAAGGCAATGAGAAGCACCACATGAGCAAGGAAGAAAAGGCTCAATCAAAGAGAAAGTGCTACTTATGTCGGGAAACGAGACACATGACTAATTCATGTCCCCTAGGTAACACTCCTAAGCATATTTTAATTGATGATGATTCTATGCTTAGGAAGGATGACAATGGTACCTCATTGGTTGCAATTGTAAAACATCTCGCTACTCATATTAAGGCTATGCCTAAGTATGTTGCTCCTAACTTGAGAGGACCCAAACTTGTTTAGCTACCATCAAAAAATGGATGATTGTTTGTATATACAATATGCATTGGAGGCTTGGTTCAAGTGGTATTCATTGTGTTGATCATGTGAATGGGCTAAGTATTGACAAGTAATGATTATTATCCCAATACCATGATAAGTTAGTAAAGTCCAAATGTGCTACAACATACAAGTGTTATTTATCTAGTTGTGATGGTTTATTGATATATTTGATGGCTTGCAAAGATATGAGTTGAAGCTTACTAATTGGATGATCATGAGCTAACCAAGATATATCTCTTGTTGATCATTTCATTTGGGTGCATATAAATTGATTGAATTGGATAAATATGCAACGTTGCTTGCTATAAGATGTTTGAATGGATAAATGTTTAGTAATCAAGTTTGAATTAATTTATGTTGGATAAATTCATAAGATGACCTTTAGTAAGTGGATTGAATGGATATATGTCTTGTGAAAGTGTTCAAACAAGTTGAGTTCAAGTTTGATTCACATTTGGTGAAGTATACTCAAGTGATTGAAATCTGTCCTATATTGCAAAAACTGAGCTAGCTATGATCAAGTCTAAGTTTGAGTGATCAAATTTATTTGGATTGGCTCAAAATTTGGTTTAAATGCTTTCCACTTACGGTATAAGATGCTGTACAAATTTCATAAGAATTGGATTTTGGAGAGATCTTGTCAGCTATAGTGTTTTTCAGTATGTAATAGTGGTGGAAGAATTAAATTCTGGTAGTAATCTTAAAGTCAAATGAAACTTAAATTTTTACAGCTGCTAGATGACTTAGTGAGGCACATCTCCACCAAATTTCGTAGGATTTAGAACTGTACATTGGAAGATATGTATTTTTCTTTGAAGGGTACAGAAACTGCCAGAAAAATGACAAATGTTGTATTGATCTAGAGTCACTTTGATTAAAAGGTCCTCAAGTTGTAATCATGTTTATAAGTGTTTGAGGCATCTAAGTTTGGTTTTGAGATGATCTAGAAGCATGACAAGCAAATAGTATAAGGCCATTTGATTATGGAGTGTACTTGGCACATACTTGATACTCAAATTAAAGATCAAGACCAAACTCAAGATGAAGATGAAGTTTAAGTTCTAGTGACTATTGAAAATCATTTGATAGAAACAAAATGACTTAAACAAGTAGAAATAAAAGAACTTAAAGAATGATTCATGCTTACTCATCAAATTAAGTACGTCACTTGGATCAATCAACAAATTCATTTCAAGTGAGTGTCAAGAATGGTTCTTAGAAAGAGGTCACTTCTCCCTAGTATAAGGGCCGCCTATGTGTAGGTAATCCAAGTGTGGTACTTGGAAGGCTAATATGGAAGTGGTGATCCGAGGAGCATTTGAGATGCTTAGTTGAAGCAATCAAAAGGGTTGATCAACAAAAGCAAGCAATACCCAAAAGAGAGCTAGTCATGACAATTCAAGTGGTATTCACACTCATAGTTCTCTCATGCAAGTTTTGATTATAAGAAGAAGCAAGCCAACCACATCATGATAGTGCACTTGATCTTAAGTGGTTCTCAATTCATATGGGTGAAGAATAGACTCTATTTATGATGACTGGTCCTCACCAAGCTATAAATTGAACTTCACATTGCTAATGCGGAGCTTAAT